CGGACATTAGAAAGCTACCAGAAGAGTTTGCAGTTATAAAATAGGCACAATTCCAAGCGAAGAATTGGGATTCATCAAAGTGGGCTGTCTACATTTACCGGCATTCAAAGAAATATACTGTACCGAACACATTGGTCATAAACCTTCACCGGACCCTGCGAAGATTCGAAGAACATACGACTTACGAAGTTCGGAAGGAATATCACTATGTCGAACGTTAAAATCTGCTAACCAACAAATTCCATCACACAGAAATGCCGGTGTTATAGCAGCAGTGCACAAATGCGGTTATAACTGTGCAGTTGATGAATTGTATGCTTCAGAATCCCTTTCTCAAGTGTATAATTTCTTGGTGAATATAGTGAAAAATTCGGAGTGTTACCAACAGTCCTTGCATATGATGACGCATGCAATTTAGTAAAATTTATTCGGAATTCAAACAATCGGAAGAAAATGAATGTAACCGAAGCTAGTAAAAGGATTGATAAACCTGACTATGTTGTGGATAAAATGCATTTCAAAAATCATGTTGATCCCATGTGCAGACACGATTTGAACCCCAACGAGCATCCTGTCGCAAAAAAAGTGAATACAGAAATTTGCAAGCAAACTTTCTCCTGGTTAGCAAAATACCGAAATATATTACGTGGTTTTAAGGAATCAACCTTTTTAATTTATATCTGTCTTATACGTGACTTGAAAAATGAACATAAATTACGATTAGCAATTAAAACAAAGTGTAGTAATTAATCTGTAAATATCGAAGTGTAGTTGATGTGTAAATAAATTTAAAATAAAATATTAGATACAATAAATAAAAATAAAATATGTGGTAGCTACTGAAAAGGAGAATGGGAAAAGCACCACATACTGGAAAAACTACCCTTCCACAACTATTTCCACCATATGTCTCTCGAATGCACAAAAGTTCAGCAAATACCTTAGCCATTAATCGACCAGTATCAACCGACACACAACAGAAACTTTTCCCCCTCAATACTCTACTGCTTCATTCAAATTCCACTAATACTCAATAAAACATTTTCCCTTTTTGGAAAGTAATTCATAGAAAACACACATTTCTACATAAAACCGCGCACAAGAATGATATCACTCCAACATTAAACGAAGACCAGATCACTTCTTCCGCAACAACACTATACATTAATGCAACATCTTCCACAATTAACATGACACTGACACATTTTAACATTCAGCGCGGGCCCATCCATAGGACGTACATACAAAGTCGTAATGCTATACGACTGAGTCGTAAAGTCGTAGAGTCGTACATAGAATATTTATATAAAGCCGTTAAGTCGTAAAGTCGTCCTGCTATACGACTGAGCTGTAAAGTCGTCCTGCTATACGAATGAGTCGTAGATAGAACATTTGCATAAAGCCGTTAAGTCGTAATGGATACTATAGTCGTTACGACTTAACAATTCGGACAGGACTTCTAATAACATAACAGCCATCATTTTTACTAAATTGTTTGCTTTATGTTGACAAAAGCTTTTCTTTTGATTATCGAAATTCCACGACTTTTGTAGATAAATATACGTAGAATCTACCGTACCAACAGCATTTGGTAATAATAATTTCATCCATTCTGGAGAATGATTGTGAATAATATTATCTCTTGTAAAAACGTGTGACCCAATATATTTTGGTACAAATACTTCTGACATTTTATCAATGGTTTCATGAAGTATGCGTGATATTCTTGATTGATGTATGCCAAACAAAGCACTTGCAAATACTTGGCTGACTCCACGAAACATAGTTGTAAAAAATATGAAGACATTTTGGCTCGATGATTCAATTGTTGATGCTATTTCTGATATTTGAGGCTTGGAAAGTCGGCTAAAGAGTTTGCACTGGTCTTCCATCACATTCTGAAACTTAATATGTAACGATGTCTTTTTTTCTTTGGATTTCAACTGTTTTGATAATAAACTGGATATGGATCTGTTTAGTCCAACAGACGAATCTTTTACGTTGGTAATCCATTTAGAAACGTCAGATGAAATGCAATTCGAACATAAATTATAATGATGCTGTAAAATTATATGATAGTCATCAAAAATACGACGTGATAGTTCTCTTGTTATTGTAAGAGCTTTTTTGTTTCTTTTTCTTGATCGCTGTTGTTCAGGACCTCCTCTAAATAAACTTGTATTGCAGCCGATACATGTTTCGCTAGGAAGTGTGCACATATAATCATTTGTCATAATTTAATATTTCAGTTGAGATGATATGACGTGATAGTTAAATAATAATATATTTAAGCACAAGTTCCTTTGTTTACTATTGGTACGTGACCTGATGACATAAAGCGTGATGAAAAATGCCAGCCAATAGCAAATGCACTTGCAAAGGTTACATGTGTTAAGTTGAGGGATCAGAAATTAAAATTGTTATAGGAATATAGTAAATTAGGTGCTCTATTAAACCGTATATTTTATTTTTCTTTAAAATGAGTTTAACGGAAAAAGGTAGAATTTCATGGAATTTTCGAAGATTGTTATGATCTGTAAGGTCATAGGTCATCCCACCTGCCATCTCATGTATATCTTTTCTCTCTTTCTTCCTGTCATATAGATCCTTTTCAGATGTTTTCCTTTCTTTCTGCCGTTGTACAATGACGTCCTGATCTTTCTCTCCTGATGTGTTGTCTTTTAGGAACATCTGAGAAGGTTCTCACTCCTATTGCTCTTGTATGTATATCCGCCCCTGTTCTCATTAGGTTGTTCAGTCGTTGAGTTATCGTTTCTCTTTCTCCACCGAGTGGTGGTGTGCTACGATTTCGGAATAAAGGGCATAAAGGACGTGAGAATAGTTCTCACAAAGATGTTACAGAAGCATCATCTGGTCTTCAAGACAACAGATGAAAGAAGGTATGGTGCTTCTGCAACATCTTCGAAAATTTCATACAGTTCTAAAATGTTCGCTAGAATCTTTACTATGTTTATTTATATATATACTCGTGTATTTCTGCTATGATATTTGTACCTGATGATGATTTAGAATAAATCGAAAGCTCGTCTACTTCTTCAGTCTTATCCGAACAGCATACTGTAGACGACCATTCTCAACTACCTACATTTCTTTGTGCTCAAAAAGCGTTATGTCTATATGTGACATGTGCAGTTTTATGTTGTCATGTCTCAGTAAAGTATTAATAAGTTTGATAAATAAAGTCGTACAGGGCCATGCTACATCTCATTTTGTAGAGCAACGAAATCTCTACAATTCTGTGTATTTGAAATATATTTCAGATTGCCAAGTATGAAACTATAAATACTGTTCCAAGTGGCATCACGAAAAATACATAGAATTTTTTTTCAAATTATTATAAGTCATATAATAACTTGAATATGAAGAAGAGTAACATGGATTATGAAAGTAGAGTGTGGGGTGTCGAACGGTATACACATGATTGGGTTAGGTTTTGGCTTGATTCTACACGATTGTAATTTTGGTATAGGAGGAGCCCCCCCTTAAAACATGTCAAATCTATGATTTTCTAACTTAATTTTCTCTCACGGTACGCAGCAGAATTTGATAATATATACACCATTGGATAGAGGAAGCCTTCCTCTACACACCTACATATATCCCGTTTTGTGGTCAAAACATCATAGTCGCCTTTCACGCTTGGATTTTTATCTTTGAGGGTCGATTATATCGGCAAATGAATGGTGTGGCTATCGGAGGAGGGATACTTATACTTGTACTTGTACTGTTTACACTTTTCAAGTGCAGATACTTGTACTTGCAACTGAAGTACATTTCAAAAGTACTTCAAGTAAGGTGTTCGGAATTCAAAGGAGGAACACAACTCTTCCTCTCTAGAAAATATACTTGGTTAGATAGAGTTTGTCTAGTTGATTGAGAATATATGTGTTTCACCTATTCAAAAACCTTCTGTGGCGAAAAACTCAAAAATTGATTTTGAGTGACAACCCGTTTTCTATCCTAACCGACTACTATGGCTGTTTTCGAATTTTCAAGTTACAAAATTACCGAGGTTTTCACCCAAAACTGAGCACCAGCTACAGTTTTCGAAATACACATCAGTGGGCTCACGAGGGAAGGTCACCAACTGCCACCTCCCTTTTTAGCTCTAAGCTAGTGGGTAATGGGTAAAAAAATGTGCTGAATCCGAATATGACAACCGCTTGGGCCTTTAGGCCTTCTAAGACCTGGTTTTTGAAAAACCGGTTTTCCAGGCGAAAAACTTTTTTTCGAGAAAAATTTTTCTGATCTGTCCAGATTGTAGAGCGTATCGAGAAACCTAGAAAAAACATGTTTTCTAAATTTTGGTAAAGGTATGAAATGTTTTTAGAGGACAAAACTCAGGTACAACCAATGAAAAATTACTTTCTTCTCTTTTCTTACGTTTCAATGAATGTAAATGATATTTAGGTAAACGGCGATGGAGATTCCAAATACAACCCGTAACTACTAAAAGGAATAACCAAAGCTATCATTTTAGTTTCGCAGAACGCTTGCTGTAACTTTTGGAACTCATTACGTCTTTTCACTTGAGTCATCGGGCTGTTAGAAGGAGACATTCCTTTTTTTCCTTTTCTCTCACCACATTCATTCTTTACACGTGTTGGAATCTCACATGAGCAGCAGACAGAGCTATGCTATCTCGTGTCACATTTCTCTGTACCTCTCTCTCTTTCTTTCTTTCTTCTCTCTTTGTTGTTTTGTGTGGTAGTCAGTTATTCCTTTTTCATCTTTGCATGAAGTAGCGTCACTCATGAACGTCTAGAATATAATCAACCGCTTGTGCGAATTAGTAAGTAAGAATTTGGATTTGGGTTCGTCATCTTCGACGTCTCAAAGAGAGTGTGAAGTGGCCGACGGTTTATTCGAAACGATCACATCTGTCAAAGATGCAACAGGATGTCACTATACAGAAGAATCTACACTGGACGGGGATGACGACTCTTTCGACTATTCGAGTGGCAGCGAAGAAGAGGAGGATGAATCGGCGGAGGAGGCTCGAGGAGAAGTAAGTACAAACGAAAAAGAGCCACGTCAGTTGGCCAACTACTCAATGGAATATATGCAACAGGTGGTCGAGTTCGCAGACGCAAAGGACGAAAAGGGAAAGCGACGTCAATCTTGGAACACTGTTCATCACCGGTTCAAATCGCTTCCAGATAGAGGCTATGTTAATCGATTTCGCCGGTATTTGGAACAGCACGGAACGAAGCGACAGAAATCTTCTGATGTGGATGCGATCGTATATCAAAAGTTTCTGGATGCTCGCGAACATGCACTACCTTTGCACGACGTAGATCTCCAACGCTGGGCACTGAAAGCAGCTAGAGATGTCCACTTGGAAGATTTCAATGCTTCGCATGGTTGGCTCTATAACTTCAAAGTTAAACATCACATTGTATCACGCA